TTTCTCTCACTCTGTCTCTCTGTTTCTCTCACTCTGTCTCGGTTTCTCTCTCTGCCTCTCCCTGTGTGTCTCTCTGTTTCTCTCTGTGTCTGTCTCTTTCTGTTTGTCTCTCTCTCTCTCTGTTTCTCTCTCTCTTTGTTTCTTTCTCTCTCTGTGTCTCTTTCTCTCTCTGTGTGTGTCTGTCTCTCTCTGTGTCTGTGTCTCGCGTGCAGGCACACACGCGTGTGAGATTATCCTAATCATCCAAGCAGCAAATATCACAGTCTGTATGAGTAGAGTGTGTATGTGATTTGACATGATTGGCCTAAAGTTGACACGGAAAAGAAAGCGGGGGGGCGGGGGGCAGAATATTCTAGACATTGAGTTTCTCAGAGCTGCTTCCCTGGGCCACTCGGGAAAGCATCCAGACACTGGCTTCCAGAGATCCGATTTCTAGGGCGCAAACCTAGAACAGCGTACTCTCCCCCAGGCCCTCGGGAAGGCTGCGACAGGCAGGCATGTGAAGAACCAGTACCCTGAGGACCAGGGAGCCAGTTGGGGCCAGTTAACTCTCCAGTGTGACCCCTTGTTGTCTGTGTGATTTGGGGAACATGATGTCACCGCCTCCCGGCCTCAGTTTTCTCACCCGTGAAGTGGGGATAAGAAGTGTGCCTAGCTCGTAAGGTTAGTGTCAGGCTTCAATGCGACTCGATAAACAAAGCACTCACGTGCGCCGCGCCTGGCATCTGGAAAATAGAACAGACTCACACTAGCTATTACCAGCTGCCCATGGACCAGCCTGGGAGCAATAGGACCAATCTGAGCCCTGAGGAGACTCATACCCCACCTTATATTGTAAGGTGGGCTGAAACCAAGCTCCCGGTGCAGCAGAAACCCGGGCTGGGGGGTTGGTGATGAAAAAAGGTACTGTCTTTAAGTGCATGGTGACTGTGCTTGACTAGATTGAGAAGCTAGGAGGAGTGGATATTGTTCATTAAGCTCTAATTAGCAGGTAAATTGTTCAAGAGGAAGAGAGACCAAGTGTTACTTCAGTTAATTAATGTACTTCTTCTCTCCCCGGTAACCCTTTGATTTGAACCACCTAACCTCCAGTCTTGATTGGGGCTCAGATCTTGGGAACACTGGCTGCTCATTATTTTGGTGAGCCCCTGATTGCGCTAAAGGAAACGGATGTAGCCCACTCTCTCTAATGGCCGAGGCACAGGAGAGATAAAGTGGTTTTAGCCATGATGAATTAAACCCAGAGGATTTAGAGAGGGCAGTCATTATATTTGTTCATTTAACAAATGTAAATAGCATCTCCCAGCTGGTGAAGAGAATATGACCACATTTAGTCTTCTAGGAAGAAGAACAAGAAGAAGAGGGGAAAAAAAAATCACCGCTCCCACCCCCAACTGCTGCTGTCTGGTGGAAGCATCAAGCTCTAGTTTCCTGCCTGCCTGAATCCTGCCTACGTCCCTGCTCAGGTCCCTGGAGTTCTGGCCCCTGCCTCAGCCAGGCTGAATCCCGAGCTCATGAACTTTGACTCTGACTAGCCCCCAGGTCAACCACGCCTAAGCCGTGATTCTGAGTCAAGTAAAAAAAATGGATTTTTTCCAGCTTGTGGAATAGATACCATCTGCCAGTGAAGCACCTTAGGGAGCAAGTCACTGTGTGAGTCTTTTCATATTACACACCCGCAGGTGGTCAGGCTAACTGGCTAGGAATTCAAGCCAGCAGTCTCTGCGGTCCCAGGGAGTCCCTGACCTCCATGGAAGGACCACAGTGTATAGAGTGTTGCTAGATTGTTAAAAACCTAACGAAATAGTGATAGCGACTGGGAGTTGCCGAATGCCTCCTTGGTTCTGTACTTGTTCTAAATTCTCACATGTATGAGCTCATTTAACTGTCTATTCAGCACTCTGAGGACTTCCAGAGACAGAGGCTGGTGACACCAAAGGCAACAAAATCTAATCCCGTTGCTACTGTGAGTCCTCCCTGCTTCACAGTCCCCTATGTGTGGGGAGAACAACTGTGCTCCAGAGGTACTTAATGTGGCTGACTTTGGGGAAGTAGACCACCAGGCCTTTCTTCTGAGGTACCCCTGGGTGGACTTGAATCGGCAACCTGTTTGTTGCCACCCCGTGTAACATTCCCACTGGTTGATCCCTACCCCGCCCGCGCTGCCGCCGCCCCCAGTCTCCCATTGACTTTCCAGAATTCCCTGGACTCCTCTGGGATAGATATTCTCAGGGAATGGCCCGGGTCTCTGCTCTTCGCATTCTCTATCTTAATAGGTTTCAATGCCCCCAATAGAGTGTTTCTCTCCATCCTGTTATTAGTGTTTCTGAGTCTTTTAGGAAGAGACTTAATGAAAAGAAGAGCCTTCGGAGACTGAAATAAACTATTCCCACTGCAGGCTCTGGCCAAGCAAATTCCAAATCCCCCTCTCCCATTGTCCCAAGGTCCTTGAACTTCTGCACCCATGGCTGCAAAGACCCCTCCTCCCACCCTCACCCCACGCCCCCCACAAGCCCAGAACTGCTCTCCTGGAGTCCCCGGTGGAATCTGTTTTCGGGGTTTGTTTTTTAATACTGAGGCTTGGATTCCGTCAGACGAATTCATAAAGACCAGAAAATGGAGTAGACGCAGAATCCCCCCGCCCCCTTAGATGATTAAAATAGTTGGGTCTGCATCGCACGTATAGAAATCCGAAGTTCCAGGAAGTCAGGCAGTGTCCAAGCTGGGGCAGGAGGTGGGGGGACAACTCCCCCTTCCCTCTGGTCATCTCCTGGGAGCCAGTTGGATCCAAGCTACTAAGGAATCTGACACCTCCCTGGCCCTTGTTCTGTTCCGGAAGCCCCGCGCCCTCTCCCCCTAGGAGCCCAACGCTCAGTAGGCTCTCAGCCCCGGTAACACGCTTCCTCTTTGCAGCTCCTGGCAGGCTGGTTTGCGGAGAGAGTCCAGCCCCCCGTGTCAATCAACTACTGGTTCTCTTTGCTTCCTTCAATTGTTATGGAAATATTGGTGTTCCCGTGTTTTTCTTCACTCGGAACCACTCCTGGCTATAATGGAAAGAATCCAAACCCTTGGGCAGGCAGCGCGCATCGCCTTGCACCGAGCGTCCGAACGTTCCGCGGTGCACCCGGGCTTGTGCCTGCCGGCTCTTTGCCGGGTTCGCAGAGGCACAGGGCTGCCAGCGGAACCGGCTGGTGGCATGCGCAACAGGTGCCTTCTGGCTGACTGCCTAGGGGATCGCTGGAGCAGGACGCGTGCAGTCTGGCTTCACTGGGTCCCCAGAGGGACAAGGGGAAAGTTTGGGGGGGAGTGGAGGGAGGTAGTTCAGCACCTTGCCTTCTAAAGAGGGGATACCGTCTTCCTCAGAGCGTCTCCGCTGGAGAAAACGCGCGCCAGCTGGCGGTCCAGTAGCATTAGCCTGCCTGTTTTCGGTTTCTGAACGCTGGCTTCTAGTGGGAAACAGCCCCCAAGCCCCAAGCCCCAAGCCCCAAGCCCCAAGCCCCAAGTTTGTCCCCTGCAGCGGCAGGACTGCAGCTACACAGAGGATGGGGCTCCCGGCTAAGCCAACCCGCAGCCCCTGGCACATGTTTCAAAGGGTTTGCAGAGGTTTTCTGAGAGTCTTTCGCCAGGAAAATCGTTAACTTTTAATAGCGGACCAAAAAAAATCCATTGCTGCGCCTAGGTGGTTGAGGACAAGAGGGGCCCCATCATCTCGGATGCCCCTGGCCCTCGCGATCTGGGAGCCTGCGCGCACCGCGGGAGACCGTGACGCTAGCTCTAGCAGGGAGATCCGCGGTGTGAAGCCACAGCCCGCTGGGGATGTCCGGGGATTGGGGATTGGTGATGGCGAGAGGGTGCACCAGGGAGTAGGGCTGGGGTCGCTGGGCTGCAGCCAGCACCTAGGTGTCCCGCCAGCCCAGGCAGCGCCATTCTACAGAGAGCTTGGGGCCCCAGGGAGGGAGCAGCACCACAGACCCTTGCCCGCTTCAGGGAAAGGATGTTTGGTTTTTGCCCGTTTGACGCTTTCCCCCAAACAGCACCTGAGCTCTAGAAATGAGAGTGCCACGGAGCAGGCGAAGGGATGCTCGCCCTAAAGTTGTGGAGCCAGCTGCTGCTCCGCTTCTGCCCAGGGAGCTGACAGGTTCCCTGGCTCCCAGCGCGGAGCGCCGGGGCCAGCTTGTCTTGGGGAGAGCAAGCCCCAGTAGGAAGGAGCGCACTGCCCCGCTGCAGCTGCCACAGCTCTGGGAGTGAATGAGTTCCCAGCAGGGGACTGGAGTAAGGACAGGTCCCCTGGAAACTGGGGATTTGGGATGGAGAAAGGAATTGTCCTCTGCTCCCCGCGGGAAACAGTGTCCAGCAAGCCACCTGGGATGGGAAGACCGACCTCTCAGGGAGATTGTAGGGACATGAAGCTGACATTCGAGGGGCTGCTGGCCACCCCCCCCTTCTTCTAAGGGTTGTGGCTGACTTGAGCTGGCGCTGGACCCCTAGAGGGGCCACATACCTCAGCTATATGGCAGTCTACAGAGCTTTGCCACGGTTTTGCTTTAGAGGCGGGCTGGAGAAAAAACTTGGTAAAAATGGGAGCTCTGCGGCTGCGCGGCTGCTGTGTGTACATGGAGTGGTGCACTTCAGGCTTTTCATGACGCATGGGACCTAGGGAGTCGTGGAGGGGGGGTGACTGTGGGAGGAAGGACATACAAGGCAGTCGGAAGCAAGACAATAGCTCGCTGTGGATTTGTCCACCAAGAGCGAGGTGGGGGGAAGCAGGGGGGTGGTCAGGGACTCTGATTGGTTGGAGGGAGGGGTTTGGGGTGGGGCTAGCTGCCTCTCGAGGCTTTAAAAGCTCATCGGAAAGAGTGGGAGGCAGTCATTCCCCCTCTGACTCTCGAAGGAGGAGGCACGCTTTTCCAGAGCTCCTGGTGACCGAGCAGGTGGTTTCCATCTGAAGCGGCGGCCGCTTGCCGGCAACGCTGGAGGCCATAACGGGCTCCGGGGACGCCATGGAACCCACCCTGGCGGTTCCCACCCCATATGACTGTATTGGCTGTAAACGGCCTCAGCCGGACTACCCACCGGCTCTGGTCACCTTTATGTTCTGTGTGATGGTCATCACCATCGTCGTAGATCTGATCGGCAATTCCATGGTCATCTTGGCTGTATCAAAGAACAAGAAGCTCCGAAATCCTGGTAAGCTACCCTCCCTTCCCCTTCCCTGGTGTGCGTTCGTTTGGGGGGTCCTACATAAAAAAAAACAACCCATACGTAATACTGCCACATAGAACACCCCTTCCTCTGAATTCCCCGATAGCCTTTGGGGGTAATGAGGGGGGTCCTTTTAACTTAAAGGCAGAGGGAGCGCAGAAAATTAGCTTTGGGTATCCCAAGTCCCATAGACAAAGCTCCGCTTCCCGGAGGAGCGCAGCAGCCCCTTGAGCTGTGCCCTGTCCCGGACCTGCTGCGGCGGGAGCCGGCACCGGAGCGGAGAGCGTAGCCGCCGCGCCGGGGCACAGCGCGCACCAGCGGGAACCCGAGCCCCGACCGGACTCCGCACCGGTGGTCGCGCCAAGGCGCGCCGACAGGACGCGGAGAAAGCAGCGCGCCAGCAAGCCACCCTGAAAGTTAAGTGGGCTGCGGCGCTTCCCGGAGCTTAGAGCCGGAGCCACCGGTCTTCGCTGCGGCGACCCGGGCTCGGGGATGGGCGCCACAGCTCCAGTGCGGTGAGGCGGAGCACGGACCCTGTCCGCCTGTCCCTGGGCGCCCAGCCGAGAGGGGCGCGCGGCGGCGGCGTCAGCGGAGACCCCGAGGTCTGTAAGCGGGGCGCGGAGGGCGCAGGGGCTGCGAGAGAGAAGGCGGTGGCCGCGGAGGAGGAAGGCGAGAAGCGGCTGGGGATCTCCGGGGCGCGTAGTCGGCAGGCGGAGGGCGCGGGGTGCAGAGTCGGTGGCTCGGGGCGCCCGAAGGACTGCGGGGACCCCACTTGGCAATCGGGCAAGGGGAGGGAAGGGGATCCAGGGGGCAGCCGGGCTGGCAGCGGGGCGCGGGAACGGTGGCAGCAGCGGCGGCAGCCAAAGTCTCCCTCTGCTAAGGCGGGGAGTCCCCAAACGGCACAGGTTTCCAAAGGCGCCGCCACCGGGGCGATCCTTTCCAGTAGGTCCTGACTGCCGCCCCAGAGACAGCCTAGCGCTCCGACTGCCGCCGCCGCCTCGGGCGAGCGCGCGTTCGCCTTTGCGTTCCTCCTTCTGCTGGCTTCTCTTCTATAATGGAAATGAAGGGGCTGATGTCCCCGCCCGAACGCTTCTAAAGCTTGGCGCGCGCTCCTGTCCCGTTCTCTTCTCCGAACGGGCGACTTGGAAAGAAAACGGGGAAAGCGCATTTGGGCTGCCAGTGCCTTGGCCGCGCTGGCGGGCGGAGTGGCTCCCTGGTCGCGGGACACAGCTCTTTCTCCGAGTGTGAAGGTGCCCGAGCGGCGCTCCTTAACACGGAGGGCTTTCCATTGAAAGCGGGCTAAGCGTCTTGCGCGTCGCCTCTTTTCTCTCCCCATTGCGCAGGCTTTTACCCAAGCGCCCCTGCTGTCGCCCCGCAAAGCAGGGGACGGGTGGCACACATCCTTCCCCCACCCCACCTTCCCGGTTTGGCGCTGGAGCCCCGAAAAAGTCGGAACCAGGGGTAGCCGGTCCTTGTGCGGGATGAAGACTGGAGTGTGAAGCAGAAGCTGTTGTGATCCCTCTGGTCTTTCTTTCCCACCCAGAGCGCTTTGTTTCTTCGCGTTTTCCTTTGGGCTCAGACCTCAGGGGCGCCCCCTCCTCCCGACTTTTGACTCTGAGGTTAAGGTGGCTCCTACGTGTGTTTGACGACTGGACCCATTAGAGGTGGGCAGCACTAGACAGGAGAGGGGAGAAGGCTGTACATTTTTTCCCCCTCCTTCCTCAGCATTCCTGTGCGCCTTTCGCCTGGGACACACTTGCAAATAAACACAAAACCCCACTGTGTGTCTTGAAAAGCATTGGAGAATTCAGAAGTGTCCAGAATCCAGCGGGTCCCTTCCTGTTTAACTTTCTAGATGCCCATATTAACCATTTCTTCTTTCTCCCTCTCCCCCTTTTCTCGCCCCCACCCTTTCCTACGCATGTTTTTCAGGCAACATCTTCGTGGTCAGCCTCTCTGTCGCCGACATGCTGGTGGCGATCTACCCCTATCCGATGATGCTGCACGCCATGGCCGTTGGGGGCTGGGACCTGAGCCAGCTCCAGTGTCAGATAATTGGGTTCATGACCGGGCTGAGCGTGGTCGGTTCCATCTTCAACATCATGGCCATCGCCATTAACCGCTACTGCTACATCTGCCATAGCCTGCAGTATGAACGACTCTTCAGCATGCGTATCACTTGCATCTACCTGGTGGTCACGTGGTTCATGACCATCCTGGCCGTCCTGCCCAACATGTATGTTGGCACCATCCAGTACGACCCTCGTACCTACACCTGCGTCTTCAGCTACATGACCAACCCTGTCTTCGCAGTGACCATCGTCGGCGTCCACTTCGTGCTCCCACTGCTCATCGTGGGATTCTGCTACATTCAGATCTGGGCCAAAGTGCTGGCAGTCCGGGCGGCGGCGGCCGGGCAGAACCCTGACAATCAGTTGGCTGAGGTGCGCAATTTCCTAACCATGTTTGTCATCTTCCTCCTCTTTGCAGTGTGCTGGTGCCCTGTCAACGCGCTCACTGTGCTGGTGGCGGTCAGCCCGAAGGGGGTGGTAGACAAGATCCCCGACTGGCTATATCTTGCTGCCTACTTCATAGCCAACATCAACAGCTGCCTCAACGCTGTGATCTATGGGCTCCTCAATGAGAATTTCCGAAGAGAATACTGGCTAGTCTTCCATGCAATTCGGCACCCTGTCCTCTTCCTCTCTGGCCTCATCACTGACATCCGTGAAGCCAGGGAAGCCCGTGCCCTTGCCCATGCCCGTGCCCTCGCCCGAGACCAAGTCCGTGAGCAACCCCTTCCCTGCCCTGCTGTGGAGGGAACGCCAGTGAGTGTCCGCAATGTCCCACTTCCTGGTGAGGTGGCAGCTGGCCCGGCTGACCATGCCTCTGGCCACCCCAGGCTGGTCTCTAGTAACCCTAAGTCTGCCTTGGGTCACTCCAAGTCTGCGCTGGACCACAAGTCTGTCATGGGCCACTCCAAATCTGTCGCGGGCCACGTCAAGGCAGCCACCGTTTACCCTAAGCCTCCCTCTGTCCACTTCAAGGGTGACTCTGTCCACTATAAGCCTGTCCCCAGCCACCCCAAGCCTGTTACTGGCCACCACTTCCCTGCTGGTAGCCACTCTAAGCGTGTCTTTAGCCCTGCCACCAGCCCCTCTAAACCTGCAGTGGTGGCTGACTACCCTGAGATCACCACCCCCTTCCACCATGGCAGCACTGGCCACCTGGAATCTGACATCACTGAGCCTAGCTCTAGCTCCAGCACTGGGTCCCCAGGGCCCCCTGCCAGCCAGCCAGAGCCTGTCCTCGCGGCTGGCCTTCCTGAGATTGTGGTTATTGATGTAGAAGGTGATTCTGATGAAGTGGCTGTGTGAGACACTCTCTTGTGGGTGGCCAAGCAGAGGCCCACGCTAGAGGCTATCTTGCACACAGGATCCCAAGTGAGCTCTCTTTACTGCCCTCCACCCCCAGACACACACAAATGAGGAGTGGGCTCCATCCACCTTCAGGCATACTTCTCCCTCCCATCATGTACCCCACAAAAGTGTGGGTGTATGATTGTAGATACTGCCTTTCGCTAGCCTCTCCTCAAGTGACTGACCTTCAGCCCACTGAGGTGCCCCTTCAGCTTTAGACTGCAGCACTCCCTTTTCCCTCCTCCCACTCCCCCTCCCTCCACCCCCTTCTTGCTTTCTTCTCCCACTCCGCAGGGGTGGGAGGAGTGCATGCGCACTGGTCAAGGTGTGTCGTGAAGGCTTCTCCACAGTGACTGTCACTGCACAGCTTCATGTTACTCAGTGTGTGTGACTCTATATTGTCCTTCTAACGGCAGTCAGAAAGGCGGTTGTGATCAAGGGCAAGTACCAGTTTCTTTTCTAAATGTCAGTGACAAAACAGGCCCCATATCGGAAGCTTACAATCTGTAAATTCTTCGTAACATCAAGTTTAGGCAACAGGAGAGCTGAGGTCGCGCCGAAGGATTTCTCTTCTGTGAAAAATCCCAACACTGGTGCTGAATTTTTCTAGTCCAGCATGCAGTCCACCCATCTTTCATGCAGGTCCAGAGAGATGCAGCCAGTCGTCCAGTCCCCTACTTTCTTCTGCTAAACGCCCAAGTCATGGCTGCTGGCATCAATTCCAGGCATATTTTGAATATTCAAATTCCTGACTACTCTTTACCTCAGATTTCTAAAAACAACCATCCACTGTTTTTACACAATCCGTTTTTTACATTTTTGGTTTTCATTGGGAAGGAACATTTAGGTAACAACTGGCAGACAGGGCACTGCTGTGGAGGTTGTAAAATGAGTGTTTCACCAAAGGCCTTTCCCTTTCTGCCTGGCCAGCACCAGTTGCCCCAGAGCGAGGCCCCTTTGAGAAGGGGGGAAGGTGGGTGGAGAGCATGCTTGGCTGAGCTGGGGGCTGCAGGCCTGAGTGTTAAGTTGGTCAGTTGTTGCATCAGTACACTTGCCATCCCAGGAAATGGTGTTTCTTTCTAAGTCAAAGAAGAAACTGCTGTTTAAGAAAATTTTCAATTCTTGATTCAAATTGACACTTTAAGCTGAGTTTACTGTCCAAAAGACTGTAAGGATGAATAAAAATGGATTATACTGCCTTAACTCTATTCTGTATTTATGACTGAAATGAAATAAAGTGTTTTTGTGGCTTTCATGTAGAATTTATTGATAAATTGGCTTATGCCCCCCGGGGTGACTTGGGGAGATGGGGTATTGGTGTGTGTGGCGTTGGTAGAGCCTGGGCTTGGTGTATCAGAAGACTTGGGGCAAAGTTACAACTTTGCCTCTTTTACTTACCAAAGTGTGGGTGGGGGGAGGAGGGCCTGCTGACCTCTGTTATTACTAGTGATCTGCCTGCAAAGGCTTCTGGGTCAGGGGCTTCAAGAGTGGGAAGGCACTGGGGCAGGATGCAGGAGGATTGGGTGGGGTGAGGTGGGGATTTCCTTCTCCAGCTGAGAGATGGGTGGCAAGATCCTAGTCTCTGGACAAGACTCCTGACCTCAGACACACATTTGCAAAGATGATCTAGTGACCAGGATGGGCTCAAAACCAACCACGGGATCATAAACAAACCTACAGCAGGGTTTCAAGTTGGGTTAAAAACGTGCTTTTTACACAAGACACACCAACACACAGCGTTGTACACTGGTTCCAGCCCGGAGTTGCTAGAGACCCACCAGCTTCACCTGGAACGCCCTTACCAGAGTTGACTGCTCCCCTGTAGGAAATACCGGCCAAGTTTACTTGGATACCCAGAAAGGATGCTTAGTGTTCAAACCAAGTGTACTCTGTTCCAAGGCTCCAAATTGCCCTTCTTCAGGACCCCAAGGGGCCCAGAGGTCTGAGAGGTGATGGGAGGGGCACAGAGAACTGTGGATTCTTTATTACACCTCTGCTCCCCCTTTGCTCCGTCTCCCCAAGTCTCAGGAGGCAGTCTCCTTCACCTCTCACGTTGCAGCCTCCCGGTAGCCCGCCCGATGCCCTCTCCCAGCCCAGGTACTAAAAAACACTCATTGCTGTCGCATCCTTGCGACTCATAGTTACCCTGTGGAACAGAGTAGAGCTGCCCCTGAGGGTTTCTGAGAAGGCAACTCTTAAAAGGAGCAAAAAGCACCATTCCCGCCCTGCTCCCCACCCCCACCTCCCCCTGCAGAATGGCTGGCGACGCCACCCGGGCTCCTTGAGGACCAGCACAGTACCTCCTAATTCAATCTCAGCCAGGAGGCGCTAACCCTCCCCCCCACCCCCAAACCCGCCTGCCCCTCCTGGACCCCATCCCCAGCCGAGAAAAATCCGGAGCAGAGCTTTGATTTGCCACGCCCAGTTGGGGCGACTCAGCTGCTGACGCTCTGCGCAGGCAAAGGCAAGGTTTGGGACTTTGCTTCCGTGAGAACCTGCGTGGGCTTTGCCCACGGCTCCACAATTAGGGCAAAAACTATCCAAGCAACTTGAAAGTAGAGTTCCCCCCTGTGTCTCACTTTTTTCTCTGTAAATTTCAGTCTACAGTATATGTGAGGGGGAAAGGAATGAAAAGATCATGGCATCTCCCCAGGAACTCTGAAGCCCCCTCCTATTGTCAAGTGACAACCTGGTAATTCCTTTACACGTGTATGTTGTCAGCTGTCCCATTGCCCCCTCCTCCCACTGACAGAGACTCCCATGGGTAACAGAGTGAAACCACTCCACAGGATTTTCTGGGCTGGAATCTTTAAGGGGGTGGGGGGAGAGTTCTGGTGGTTGCAGTAGTTAAAGTGATCCCTGCTTACAGAAAGGTCAGCCATTCAAATCTGCCAGCCACACAGTAAGAGAAAAGTGGCAATATGTCCCTGTAAAGGATGACTCCCTCAGAAACTCCATGGGGCAATGCTACCCTATCCTATAGGATCCTAGGGAGTCAGAGTCCACTAGACAGCAGTTGTGTGTGTGTGTGTGTGTGTGTGTGTATTTCAGCAATATTTCCTCTCAGTCTGTGATTTGCCTTTTCACTCTTTTAATTCTTTTTTTTTTTTCACATAAAAGCAGGTTTATTGGTCTCATAGGGATTGGTTCTTTTAATTCTTTTGATGAGCAAAAATCCTTAATATTATGAAGTCCAATTCATCCATATTTTCCTTTATAAGTGTATGTGTGGGTTAATCTTTTATTGTGAATCAGGTAAAGACTTACAGAAAAGGTCATAGAGTCCCATCCAATAATTCATACACATTTGCTTTCCACTTGTCTTTTGTAACCCCCTTACTTGTTCTACTTCCTCCTTGTGCTTCCCATTTCTGTTTCTAACCCTCTGTTCTTGAGTAAATGCTACACTTTTAATCTTCAATGGCTAATTATTCAAATATGGGTGAGTTCAGTTCCAGACCTGAAGGAGGACGAAGGGGATTCTAGCAGTGCCTTAGAACAGCTAAAAACAAACAACAGGCAATGAAGAAGGAATGGGGCCATTGAAAACCTTAGGCATAACTTTGAAATATTGTCAAATACTGAAGGCCCAATGAACGGAAACAGGACATTCTCAGATGTAGTGCCAGGGGATGGACCCATCAGGCAGTATGACTGAGGACGACCCGATTTCTGAGTGGAGTTGACCATGGTCACTTGTGTCCAGTAAATCTTGTGGGAGTGGGGCCTTCGGGATCTGTGTTAGCTGATGGAGAATGACTCAAGGTAAGGAGCAACAGCTGCAAACATCTGCTAATGACTGGAACTTTGAATGTGCAAAGTATGAACCTAGGAAAACTGGAAGTGGTCAAAAATGAAATAGAATTTATTGAAGATTGATAACCTAGGCATTAGTGAGCTGAATAGACTGGTAGTGGCAATTTTGAATCAGAAAAACTTATCATTTATTATGCCAGGAATAACACAATCAAGAGGAATGGCATGACATTCATCATTTAGTATCAAAAAGGACATAGCAAATGTCCTTCAATTGTGAAATCTAATGATGTCTGTGATACGATACTATCTATCCACCTTCAAGGAAATCCAATCAATGCAACTGCAATGCACTCACTCCTCTTTGAAAGACAACTGATTTGAAGAGGTCCCTATTTGTATCTGTGTTAGTCCGGGTTGACTAGAGAAATGAATCATGAAACTGAGAGTGGATGTTTGTTTAACCTCTACCTCAGGGTAGATTTTCTTCTTTGGCTAGCCAGAGGTCAGATATGGCCTTGCAGTTTAATGGGGTGTTTTCGGGAAAGAATATGAGAAGTTAAAGTTTTGATCATTTTCTTTGGTTGTTGTACTTAGTTATTCCTGTTTGAATTGGTGTAAATGAATGTGATTAATGTATATTTTGAGCTCAGGAGGTGAAATCTCCATTTGAATTTCTCAGAAACTAGGCTGTTGAGTGAAAATGGCTGACAAAGGTCAAAATGGCTGACAGAAAGCACGGCCCTGGCTTGAAGCAGTCAGAGGCCTAAGGCAATATTTTGTATCGATGGTATAGTTTAGACAAGGATAAATATAATTTAAGTAAGGATATAATTTGACTGTTTTAAGAATTGGGGTTAGGATCTGGTTCTCCTTTGTTTATACTAATTTCTTCTGCTTATTTTTATAGATATAATGAATGATAAAATTATTATTGGGAAGCATGAAAATAGCTTGTAAGCCCACTTGTCTTCAGGCATTAAAATTGGATCATTAAATGGGTTTAGGACAAGCTTGCAAAGAAGGCTCTGAAAAGATAAGCCCCATCCAGTGTTGTGAGTGCTCAGGACAATCCAAGGTGAACAGACTTGCTTAGGGAGCTCTTGACAGATTGAAGGAAAAGACAGAACTTTGGCTCTTTGAATTTTGAACTAGTGATTTGTACCTGAAGCTGAAAGGAATTTGGAGCCCTGAAGAAACTC